TAATTAAATTTAGATTAAACATTTTTATTATTACCTTTGACACCAATATTATTCTACTTGAAAATATTTTAGAATTTCGATAAACTTACAAATGCATTAATCTATCAAATTCAATTCATATAATATATAAATACACATACATTTACATAGGTAAAATATTTACTTTTGGCTGATCGTAGTGATAGTACAACATCGTCTACATCGAAAAAAAGAAAGCTGGATGTTCCGGAAATTTCCATTAATTGTCTCGAAAGTCACAATTCGAAGAAAATTCTTTATATAGCCCCAACTAGTCCTACTCCCGCTGCAAGTACTAGCCCACAATTAGAAAATACGCCAAGGAAAATTAAAATGAAAAAATGACTTGACATAAAAACAATAGCATAAAAAGGCTTCAATCGCAAAACGGTATTTAAAGAAAAAGTTACAAGTTTGCCAGAAATACTAGATTCGCTGACAGAGACATCTTTGATAAATAAAGAAAACAAACAGGTTCTAGAAAAGATAGGAATTGAAGAAAGTGAACTCTTAAAGAGACCATTACTTAAAAGTAAGATTGGAAAATTGCCCAGAACTAAATATTCCCCAGAGTTAAGATGTTTTGCCCTAACACTTACTTATTACTCACCAAAAGCCTATCACGTACGTAAAACTTTTGGAACATCTTTGCCTGTATCACGGGCATTGACTGAATGGTACAAAAGTACCAACGATGGCCGACCAGGGTTTACTCAAGAAGCGCTAACGGCATTAAAATTGAGACCGGAGAGTAACCCCGATAAAAAAAATGTAACCTTGGTCATGGATAAAATGAAAATTAGGCAATTAACAGAATACCATGCTAGCAGCCAAAGGCATAATGGCTATGTCGATTACGGGCTCGATTTTATATCGGATAATTCTGATGAAGGTACTGATGCATTAGTGTTTTTATTGGTCGGTATAAACACAACATGGAAATTATTCATAGCCAACTTTTTGATTAAGTGTACGAGCGCTGTATTAAAAGCACGGCTATTAACACAAGCTTTTTATCTTGTTCACAAAACTGGCATCGAAATAAAGGCGTTGACATGTGATGGTTCAAAAACCAACCTTGCCATGGCGGAAGAGTTGGGATGTTTTTAGGTCAGCACTAGTACCCTTTACTAAGAAGTACCCAGTAGGTACTTCACAAGAAGTATCAATGCCCATTAATAAAAATGCTACAGCATCAGTAGCGTTCTCCGAATTGTCAGAAATGAAGTCAAATCCATAATTATCATAACCAAAATGTCTTTTAAAACTTGCATGGTACTCCGTCGGACGTTTTATTTTCATTTCATCTATCACTTATATACAATACAATTTCTTGTCAGGGTTACTCTCTAGTCTAAGTTTTAAAACAGTTAACGATTTTTTTGTGTAGCCAAGTCGGCCATCAATTGTACTATACCACTTCGTTATAGCATGTGATGAAGGGAGACAATTCGGTGAATAGTGATGTAAGTTAAAGCAAAATATCTTTCTGTGGAATACTTAGCCCTTGGCAGATGTCACGGTTTTTTTAAGCAGCTGTCTGTTTAAAGTTCACTTTGTTCAACTATTATATTTTGTAAAACTACTTTTTTTCCTAATTTATTAAATATTTTCCAGATAGTTCATTTAATAACTCTTGAAAATCAACACCTTTTTTAAGTAGCTTTTTAGTGATTGAAGCCTTATAATAAGAACAAAAACTTAGTTAACACCATCTAAGACGACAAACTGATATGACTTTTCTTTTTACAAGTCTGATTTTTAAAATAAGTTAGCTAAACCTGCCATTTCGATTTATTACATGTTTTAAATTTTATCCTGCATAATTATAAAAAAATATGTAAAAAATAAACTTCATCATCATCATCATTACAGCCCTTCACAAGTCCACTACTGAACATAGGCCTCCCCCAAGTAATGCCTTAATAATAAAAAATAAAAAGGCGTAGGGAAGTGACGACCCCATCGCCCGCTGACGTAACGGTTATGTGACAAAACCGGTACGTCAGCGCAGTCAGTCAGCACCTTGCCGAGAGGTGTTAGTGCCGTGCCTCGGCAAAAATTGAAGGTGCAAAGGTCCGCTTGTGCACATGGCCTTATCATGAAACGGCGCCGGGTCTGGGCGTCTCCCGCTAAATGACCACTATGGATGATGGAATACGGAAGAACGCAATCGGCACCCGCCACTGGTGGAGTACGCCGCATGCGTTGGACAACCCAGATGAACAGCAACGCATTGCGGGCGTATTTTAGGGCGAAAGGGTGAGAAACTGGAGGTTTTGCGTATCGAACAAGGATGCATCGACTTTTTGCTGAGCTGGAGCCATCTGTAACCGTCACCGAGCAAACCCTGGCAGACCGAGTTCGGTATATCTTGCGCTCAAATACATTTGATGTCACCGAACTCGAACGGCTATGACGTGAGGCTGTTCCTTCATCGGGTGAAAATGCTGCGGCTGAGGATACGACGCCACAACTTGCTAGGATATCCGCTCTGCCCTTGGCATCATAGCAGCGTTCGCCCGCACTGTTGGTAAGCGGGCAAACGGGAGGTCTGGTTTTGGTTAGCTGTCGGTTCAGTTTATAGAGCGACGCATTTTGTTCTTCCGCCTTCCATATGCGCCGCTCCCAGGCCTCTCCTCTGTATGCCCGGACTGCCACCGACAACTCCTCCGATAAGATCTTAAGTAGTGCTTTTAGTCTTGGGCAGCGAGTACGCGCCCAGAGCCTCCTAAGTGCTCTTTTGCGTTTTATCTTGACGCATATTTCCAGCGGCAGATCGTCACGCCTTTCTGTGATCGGGACGATCGTAGAGGCCGCGTGGAGGGCCTCCTGGATGTTTTTGGTGATTCTGGTTGCAGCGGCCTCTACGTCGTCCGCTGTGTTTATAAGTTGGTCTGCTGGAGGTCTCGCCCGCAGGTGTTGTGCGTAGCGCCTCCAGTCAATGCGTGTCTTAAAAGCTCTGGGCGGCGTAGTCACCGCCTTAGTGCCAAGGGTTATCAGAATCGGGAGGTGCTGTGAGCTCAGGTCGTATAGCACCTCTACCACTACCGGGTAGTTGACGTTCCTAGAGAGCACGATGTCTAATACATCCGCATGTTGCTTCGGATCTGTTGGAACGTTGGTTGGTTCTTCGGGACCGAAAACGTCGTAGTTGTTTCTCTCTGAGTCTTCGTATAGTGCAAGACCCGGCGGGGTGATCACTCTGGACCCCCACGCCGGGTGTTTGGCGTTTAGGTCCCCGGCGATTATGGTAGGTGTTTCGCCTTCCATCACTGTCCGGATGTCTGAGGAGCAGAATGGAGTCCCTGGCGGGCGGTGTGCTGCGTAGATCCTTAGTTCCTAGCCCGCCGCCTCCATTCTTATGCCGATAGAGCGCATAGTCTGGAAAGGTGGTAATTCCAGCTCTTGGTGGACGATGTCCCTCCTCACAAGAACCGCCGTCCCTCTATAGGCGGCCCCTTGAGGGGTGACCTCGTCCCTTCTGTATAGGTGGTAATTAGGCAGCTTGATATGCGTCTTTGGATTTAGTTTTGTCTCGCCCAGCAATATAATGTGCAAGTCCTGTTGCTGGGCGACTGTGCGGAGTTCATGAAGCTTCTGCTGTATTCCGCCCGGGTTCCAATAAAGGAAGCGCAGATTACTCTCCTCCATAATGCCGGGCTAATAGATTTGCCAGCGCCTTCATAATTGCTGTAATTGGGTCAGTCCCGGCTCTGATATCAGCCAGGACTTACGAATTGCAATAAAACTCATTTACTAAGCTGCCCCAGAGCTATACGCGAAAGTGAGCCGCGCCATTCGCGCGCTTGCGTAACTCAATTACATGAATTTGTTCTATTACTCTCTCACGTTTTACTTAATTACTTTATTTGCATAAGTCATACATCAACATAATATACGTGTATAGATAGCACAAAACAATATCTACACCACGATATACATTACATTTTTATATCACGAAAAACCTATTATTTATTTAACAAAATATGCCTATTTTACTCACAAGTTCAAAGTCTAAATTTCTTAAATATTTAACATAGAAAGTTAAAACAATGTTTTCCACTTGAAATTATACATATGTTAACTAATACAATAGTTTAATTTACATTTTCTCTATTTATTTCACTATTAAAACACTTTTAAATTTCTTATACAAAACTATCATTATTTCACTTATACACAGGAATTTTCACATAAAAATAACACAGAATTCACCTTTTTTAGCACGTACAATCAACCTGAAATGTTTTACAAGTCATTTTTACATAAATTGCTGAAATTACAAATATTTAAATTTTTACATATTTGGCCTCCTAAGTACGTGGCTAGCGTTCTTCTATGAACTCACACTATTTGAACAACAACTTTTGCACGGCTCTCGGCTATCAGAAAAAATGAAAGTTTGATATACACCAATTTTAACAATATTGGGTGAATAAATGCTTCTACATAATTTTCAAAGTGTAGGAAACTATTTCTAATCAGATTCTTATCAGTTATCATGTTTCTTATCAGATAACAATATAAGTGAATGTTCTCATAAATCAATCATGGCAAATAGGCATTTGTTTTCGTACAAAACATATCAAACTTATATAAGACAATACTTATGCGATTAATTTCCGTTAATTCTATTTATGCACAGAGTGATCATCTCGACCGGGGAACAAATCCGATCTCTAACTTCACTTCAATATTCCTTTGAATTTACATCATTTGAAAGATGATTTCAACCGGGGAAACAATCCGGTAACATAATTTATATCTTAAATTCCTTATGAATTTATTAAGCGATATTACTTAGGAAAACAAATAAACTAGTCCGGCCTGGGAGTCGAACCCAAGACCTTCATATCATTAATTCGACATTCTTTAAGATTTAACTAAGCATTTTCTTATCAGAACCTTACTATTGGACAATTTGCCTTTTAGAAGCTATTCGTCATCGGTTGACTTAATAAATTGAAATATTCTTATAGGCGCCTCGCCAACAGCCAGTTATGGTTGATTCAAACGATGATGGAACAGTCGCCCAGGAACTGGAACTAGAGCAAATGAGGAGTACATTGGAGGAGGCCATTGTGGAAACGCGCAGTACGCCTGTCGAAAATCGACCGCGGCTTCCCCGTTTAGCCCTAAGCAAGCGCAATCGGGCTGTCCTGAGGGCTCTGAACTCAATGCTGGTTACCTATTTGGAAGCCAGCCGGGACCTTTGCGAGACGGACTCAATTCTTTTTGGCGCCGCACTGGCAGTCTGCCGTATTATAGGCGCCAAACTTTCCACGGCTGGACGCGCTACTGGACAAAGTAGTGCTATCCCAGCCTGGAGAATAAGAATTGAAGAACGTATCGCAAAGGCTAGGGCCCTCATCGGCAGAATGATATGCTTCAGGTCAGGCAATACCAGGCCAAGGATTGTGCGCACCGTCAGGATGGCGTTTGCTGGGACAAATGTTAGTTTGTCCCAGCCGGATATAATGCAAAAACTGACGGAGCGCATAGACGACCTGAAGCAAAGAATCGCTGCTTGGGGAAAGCGGATTCGGCGATATACCGAGAGGTCGACACGGTTCAATCAGAATCGTCTCTTCCAGAGTGATCAGAAGAGGCTCTACAAATCATTGGAGCGACCAATAGTAAGTGGAACGGGCCCAGCACCAAATCAGGCCGACACTGTCGCATTCTGGCGCAGGCTGTGGTCAGAGCCCGTAAACCACAACGAGGGCCCTTGGACGGAAGTTGTGACGAGTCAGTGTGTGGGTATTACTCCCATGAACCCCGTCATCATAACGCCGGATGACGTAGCTGAGGCGGTCCGTAGGGCCCCGAACTGGAAAGGTCCGGGGCTTGACGGGCTGCATCACTACTGGCTGAAGAGGTTCATGGTGTGTCACGCTGTGCTCGCTCGACAGTTTCAAGAGGCTCTCAACCAGAAGTCGCTCTCAAGCCTCTTCACTACTGGGATCACTCATTTGATTCCTAAAGATCAGGGTGCCACAGACCCGAGCAAACACCGCCCCATCACGTGTCTACCGACTATATACAAGACACTAACATCCATTTTGAGCGCGAGAATCGCTCGTCACCTGGACTCAAATCAGGTGATGTCGCGCGCTCAAAATGGATGTCGGGGCGGCGGTCATGGAACCAAGGAACCACTCCTCATTGACGCCGTCATTGGCAAAGTGGTGAAACGCAACCGTCGGAACTCTCCGCCGCTTGGATAGATTACAGAAAGGCATTTGACTCGGTGCCCCATACATGGCTAAAGAGGGTCCTCGAGCTGTACAGTTCGAGACTTCCTCGAGCAGTGTATGGGGCAGTGGAGTACGATCCTCTGTCATCTAGGCGAGCGGATGACGGCTGCGGAAAGCCGCATAAGGATAAGAAGGGGGTATATACCAGGGCGACTGTCTGAGTCCAATCTGGTTCTGCCTCTCTTTGAACCCTCTCAGTACTTTACTGGAGGGCTCCGGGAGGGGATTTCAGCTTCGGAAAGGAGGTACAAAAGTGACCCACCTTTTCTATATGGATGACCTCAAATTATTCGCCTCCAGTCGCTCCCATCTTATAGAATTGCTAAACATCACTTGTGAATTTAGCAATTCTATTAGAATGGAGCTGGGGACGGATAAGTGTGCGGTCCTCCATGTTGAAAGGGGAAGGGTCGCTAACTCTGAGGGCATAGACTTATCTATGCCCGTCAACTTAAGGGCCCTTTCCGAGGCTGAAACATACCGATACCTGGGTGTGTCACAGAACATCGGTATCGATGAGGCTAGTATGAAACAGTCAGTTTGCGACGTGTTTTATGCACGCCTGACCAAAGTGCTTAACAGCCTTTTTGTCCGGTATGAATAAGACACATGCATATAACGGTTGGGTCATGCCTGTCCTCATGTATACCTTTGGCATACTCAGGTGGAGTCAGACTGAACTTAACGCCCTGGATAGAAAAGTCCGCACTACAATGACGTCCCGTAGGATGCATCATCCGAGATCGTCGGTAATGAGGCTGTACTTGCCGCGAAAGCATGGTGGGCGTGGCTTCCAGAGCGCGCTCACCATGCATAATCGCGAAGTGTGCAGCCTCCATCATTACTTCCTGGCGAGATCGGATGATCCATTCTATAATGACGTCATTTCTAGCGATAAAGGACTTACCCCTCTATCCTTAGCCAAGGAGCAATGGCAAGATCCAGCAGTACAGAGCATTTCCGACCGGGAGACCGTATGGAAGGAGAAGGAGCTCCCCGGGAGGTTCTACAAGGCTCTACATGAGCCTTTCGTAGACACAGTAGCCTCCCTCAACTGGCTACGTTTCGGTGACCTCTTCGGGGAAACCGAGGGTTTTGTCTGTGCAATACAGGATCAGGTTATTAAGACCAACAACTATCGGAGATACATCCTAAAGGATAGCACTGTCGACGTTTGTCGAGCTTGTCGCCATCCCGGGGAGTCACTTAGGCATATCATCTCCGGTTGTTCGGCGCTTTCTAACTTTGAGTACTTGCACAGGCACAACCTAGTAGCCAGAATTCTACACCAGGAGCTCGCTCTGAAATACGGTCTCGTGGACCTAAAATTGCCGTATTACAAGTACATGCATGTCGATTCACTCTTAAATAAATCGATCTCTGAATCGATTCGAATCGAAGATACTAGAATCGATTATCGATTAAATCGAGTATTAAAAGATCGATTTTCGATTAATCGCGACCTCCTTTCTGCCACTGCGCCCTCCTTTCTGCCAAGGAGGGTCGCGTTCGTATACGGCTTAGAGATCTCTAGTCAGATCGTTAAGCCAATTCCTAAAAGGCGGTGTTTAGTGGGTAAAAGTCTCCACATAACCACGCAGCCGGCTGCGTGGTATGCTATGAGCATTCACCGCCTCCCTCCCCCGCTTTCCGGAGGGTTGCCCATATTTGCTACGGGCGCAAAAAAAAATTAATCGCGACACTTTCAAACATGAAATTTCAAGAAATTGCGATTTTTTCTTTAATTGAACTTTAATTTTTTTTAAATTCAAATATTAGTAATCTTATTGATTAAAATTACTAATATTCCTTTTAACCTCTCCTGGTAAGCTTGAAACGCTTGTTTTAGGGGTGGTTCGCCACTCGATCCCTTTTTTTACAAAGTGATTCCATGTATCACTTTTATTTGACATTTTAGGCTAAAAACAACAACAATACTTTAACAAAAGTTCAAACTGCAACGTACATTTCTCGATCAATCTGTTGCAATCTATTAACTTACTATTTATCAAATTGAAGTGAATGATACACGAACACAATACTGGTTATTTCCTTACTATAAACCTCTATAAACTTCAACATATAATATTTATTTACAGCATCTAGATATATAGAAAGTACTCCGTCTGTATTTACAGCTCACAGTATGTATGTTTTTGATAATAAAGTAAATTCGCAAGTTCACAGTTCAAACAGATTCACAGCTATAGTATTAAATTGTAGTATGTATATGTAGTTTTGTTCACAGCACAGATTAAGTTAGACCAACATTCCACAGGTAAGAATAGAATTAGAAATTTAGAAATGAAAATGAAATGACAACTTTTCGATATTGTTGGATGCGTTCATAAATATTTATTTTATTCAAATATATAATATGTAACGTAATTAACGCACACCCTCAGATATCCCAATTAGTATATTATGTTATAACCATAATACATACACTGAATTTTTAGTTAAACATTTTTAAGCACTGATTATTTATCAAATTAGTTATACTAATTCCGTAAGAATGTTGTGGTCACAGTACAAATCCACGAACGCAAATACTTTAACGTGCTTGAAATAAAGTTCATTTTTCTTTATTTTTATTGAATGACAGAATTAGTAATAATACAAATATAATTGCACTCTTAAAAGTCTTATTGCCTTAATTTACGGTCCATTTCAGTTTGTTTTGACTGTACAGATTTAGTGTGACTGTAATTTACGTAGTTTTAATTATTTTTGGGATAAAAAATTACCTATATTAAAAATGATAGGAA